CGGAAGAGAAAGGGAAACTTGACATATGGTTCCCAGAAAAGGGTTTGTAGATGTTACCTAATTTTTCATGATCTCGAGGCCAGCTGCAAGATTTTGGTTTGTGCTCTCTTTTGAAGAAATTTGACCCGAACATGCTTTTGCTGTTTGGTGTTTTGTTGAGTTTCCTGTTTACTCAAATCGTCGTATGATTGGGAAGTTTGTTTTAGTTTGATTTCTCTTTTTGTTGCGTAAGATCTATTGGAAATCCTAGGAATAATTCGAAGGTGAAGAGACTTTTTGTTGGATCATGCAACTTTTTAGCGGAGTAGGAAATTTTGTCATTCTTTCCAAATGTATTCTATTTTTTCCTTTACTATGAACTTTGTTATTTTTTTACAGAGATTTTAGATTGACAAAGGAAAGATGCATATGGAATTTCGACTCTCGTGTGGAAAATTTTGGCATTATTTGTGAACGTTATGTTAGTCGTATCGATGTGAACTATGTAAAAACATCTTCAATACAATGCTAAATTAGTGTTTAGTGTCAAATTATAGAACTTGAATGGAAAATTTCTCTATAATGGAATATTGTTTTTTTATGCTAAATTTTAACATATGCTATGTTGGGTTGGATTTAGCGAAGACAAATCCTTAAGGGGGCGTTTGGTATACAATAATGAGTAAGAATTATATTACTGAGAAAGTGATGAAGGATAATATGATTTTTAGAAAACATATATTATCATGTTTAGTTACGCATAGGAATTTAAGATAGAACTCCTGAAAATATCATTTTACTGTGTGTTTGGTAATTTTTCTTATCTTCCTCTTCTCTCTCCACCACGAACTACTCACCATCAAACCCAGATACAGAGCCTGCAAATAACGTTCATGGCCTTCTCCATCACCATTAAGCATCTCTATGCCTCTCTAACAAACTCTTTCTCTAATTCCTCTGACTGCCTCCGATCCTCAACCATAGGCCGAACTTTTCGGCATTCGGTAATAGGCTATTGAATGAGCTCTTTTGCATAAATGGGTATTCTCTTTGCTTCTCCCCTCTTCATTGGAGCGTTGTCGTTGGAAAGTTCAAAGAGTTGCAAGGTCGGCGAAGAGTAAGAGCACGTTTGGTTCATGAATTCAGAACCATTCTCGTTTTACGTGTGTTTTTTGTGAGAGAAAATACTGTAGCGAACCACGAATCATGATTCGAATCATGGCACGAATCCCCCTTCCAAAGATTAAAAATATTTTTATTGTTCTATTTTATTTATTATCATATTCAATGAAAATTAAAATATGTTTTTAAGAAATATAAATTTAAAAGTGATGGGTAGAAGAGTACTTTTGCACCAACTATTTAAGAACAATCAATACATGTGTGACAAGTGTCATTTTTGTTCGAAACCTTAGCAAAGAGAATTTTTTTTATTAATGTTTTATACTTCGGGGGAATAGATATTACATTTAAATAAATAAAAGGCAAGACGTTACAAGAGTCAGTTTAGGGAAAATTTTTATAATTCATCTAAAAAAAAGTGTAAGCAAAGACATTTCAACGAAAAAAGATTTTAGTAAGGACATAGTAGAAACGCAATTACTCAACGAGTACACATTAATAAGTGCACAAATATGCACTTTTTGGTGTACATAATTGTCAAATAAATTAAATTTTAATTAAATATTTTCATGAAATATGAAAATATTTAGTATTAACTTAATTTAATTCGTTTTTTAGGGAAATAAGACATTTGGACTAAAGTCAAAAAAAAAAAAAAGAGAAACCCATCAGCAAGCTTCAACCGCCGAGCCGAGCCGAGCGGCGCATCTCTCCACACCGCATGTCACTGTCTGGCGTGCCTCAGACTTGTGGGACCTAGTTGTCCCCTCACACATGCGCGTTTGGCGCGCACGGCATCCTCCTCTGGGTGAGTATTCTACACGCGCACGTCAGGCAAGTTTCCCTTCACCTCCGCGTGGGCCCCGGCTGTACAACAGTTACCACTCAGCACGCGCCACGTGTCTGTGTGGGACCAAGCTGGCGGCCATTTCTCTTCTCAGCCTCTCATCGTGCTCCACGTGTCACGTCCAGATCAAGTGTCAATCACGTATACTCCAAGCGTCAGTCCTTGGACGTTCTTAGCACGCCTTGTGGCGTTTTCATTCCCCTGCTCGAGCCCTTCATGCATAGTACCTGTGATTACTCATCAGTTTGTATCCGTTTGTGATGGTTTTTCTTCCCACTATTGTTAGCCTTTTTACTCCAAATTACTCCCTTGTAAATTCCAATTTAATTAAGATCCGTTTTTACTTTTATTTTCTTTAATTTTCCTGCTAATTGTGTTTTTAGCATTCTCCAAAACTCTATAAATAGAGCATTTGTTGAGGTAATTGGTGTTGATTTTTAGCCTAAGTTTAGACACTTTTTCTCTCCTTTTTTTTTTCTTTTATTCTCATATTTTCTCTTTAGAATTTTGTGAGAATGCTTTGCAAGCTAGGCTAGAGTTTTTGAGTGAGACTAGAGATGACCCTATATGTGTAGTGAGCTTGTTTGGATTTTGATTCTCTAATGGTTTGTAAGTTTTATACTTTTGAGTAAATAATTTTCTTTCATCAAATTTCTTCCTCATATCAATATATTTTATTGTCAACTTTTATATAAATCTAGTCAAGCTCTTTTTATATGATTGTTGCACAATACAATATATTCGTAGGCATTATTTTATTAGAAGTCTTTTACTGCAATATCACCCTGAGGTATGTTGTTGCTTTTAGATTTTTTATAAGATCATTTTCCTAGTTCTTAACATTAGAATTTTATTTACTCGAATACATTTTTATTCACAAGTTCTTCAATTCTTATTTTCCGATTGATAGTTTGGAATGTGAAACTTTCAATTCAGTAATCTCAAAAATCAAAATCCAAACGGGTGAACAAAGCATATAGGAGAATCTTGACGCCTTACCGATTTTAATTGTATAGTTTTCTCATATATTTTTCTTACGCTTAAATTTCTCAACAAAAATTTCATTTTCTTTTAATTTTATTTTATTATTTATCTCCTAACGCCTTTTATTTGCTAATCGTTTTGTGTTTAATTTGTCTCCTCCTTGTGGACACGACTGCCCTAATTGTGCTACCACGACCGCTTTATTTTCAACACGTTTGTGCATAATCTGTTGGGATTGGTGTCCTTAAGCATGAGATGTGTAACGACCCTTCACGGATCGTCACAGTTATCTAAAGAATGCGGAAAATAATTAAGGTTGAAACACTTTACTTTGAATGACTTAAAGAAAAGCCTAGATTTTTTTTTTAACATATTATCTTTAAAATTTTTGAACTTCTTCAAAGAAAAAACAAAACTTTTCGGTTCAACTTAATTATTAAAATCTATGCCGTGAAATAAACTAAAGAAAAAAGGTCTAAAATATTCATCAAATCAAATTCACTATAAACCAAAGTTCCAAAACAATGAACAGTAAAAATTAAAACTTTATTTAAATTTAAATACTTTCATTCCATGATCGTTTCTCTCATTTTCCTATCACGCATAGCTCGCATCCGCTCCAAGATTCTCCATGGCTACATCTTGCCCTTTAGATTGTCTGTAACATGAAATAACTTATATAAGCAAGGGCTTAGTAAGACACTTAATTCTCACAAATGTTAATGAACATTTTTATTCATCAACAATAAACGCCATCATGAGAATAATTATTTTTGAACATATTTTAACTTTAAAATCCATCATATATTGGGCCCAACGTTGTACCATCATAGCGCGCTAGCCAAGGAAAGCATGGGGTAACAAATCTCATACCAACCGTGACAATAAGACCGCTCACCGATCACCATCAAGGGTGTACAACGCCATTTAAAAACATAAAAATACATATATACATTTTTCTTTAAAACGTCATCATTTGAGAAATATTAAAGGTCTCATAACATCATCATAAACATTAAAACCATATACTTCTCAATTTTTCAATTCATGTTGCAGGTGAGAGTGTACTTACTTGAGCGTCTTACTTAACCTTTTTAAATTTTCGCAACGGTGATGCGACTAATGAGGTCCTCGGGTGCTCACCTCTAGTACTGTTCATGCCATAAATCATAAATGAGATTACTAAAAGGCCTTAACAACTCATCAAATATATTGATCAAGTTCAAACAGCGCCTAATATACCATTCTCACCATTCACTAACATCAAGACATAATAACCCACTAATTACACAAAATCACAAAACTTAACAAATATTGGCAGCCTGACCTTTACTCCTTTAAAAAATCATAACAATTCACATAGAATTCTAAATGACCTGAAACTAATTTCAAATGAAAATAGACATCTAGATCTTTCCACCGGTATTAAATTTATTAAAAACGGAGTTCGTTTGTTCTCTCAAATACTGTTTTAAAATCAGAACATGAAACCTGGAAAATTCCAGCACTCAAACTAGAACGAAAATTCACTGAAAATTCTATAAAATACAAAACCATCATCCTCAACATGTATAAACAACACCCCATCTATTATTCAACCTTATGACACATTTCTAATACACAGAAACATAGAAGTATGCATGCAATCACTCCTAGACACGTCCAAAATTTTTGACTTCTTAAACTAGGGTGCAATAAGGCCAATGAAATAACACATCCTAGCATCTGACACAATATATATACAAGTCTATAAATGATTCCTATAAATAAAATCGACAACTTAAAAATGATTAATTAAATAAATAAGAATACAGAGATCTGAAAATGATTAAAAAGAAAACAAACAAAGCCACTCATCCACCCATATACGTAATACCATAAGCAACATAGCAGTGGTATAGCCTCACTCAAACATCATCTCATGTCTCTCCTCTTTCTCAAACAAAAGCTATCATTGACAATCAAATCCGTACACTAAAACAATTCGTAACTAAAAGAATAAATAATAAGAGAAATCATACCTTAACGATGTCCTTTATCTTGATTGCTAGGAGAATTCAAAAAAAAAAAAAAAAAAGATTAATAGATGAGCTTGATGGTTGATTATGGAGGTTCTCTTGTGATTTTTTTTTTTTTTTTTGTCATGAAAGAGAAGATAAGAGAGAGACACGTGAAAGAGGTATGGAGAAAGGATTAGGAAACTGAAAAAAAAATTATAGAGCTGGCTGCTTAAAAGAATAAGATTTTCATTGGTCAACATGTATATAAAGAGAAATTACTTACAATTTGATTCCAAATGAATTTTGGGATTAACTTGAATGTTAATTGGCTTAATTTGGGTGATTATAGGATGTCATTGAGGTGGAAAACGAATTGGAAGATCGAAGTTTCGTTATGCTTATGTGTGTGTGTGTGTGTGTATATATATATATATAT